CTAATATGGTACTTAGAAACAAATGAACTGATTACCGATATCCAATGTGGGTTTAGGAAAAACAGAAGTACCATTGACCATTTGGTTAGACTGGAAACTTTTGTGAAGAATGGTATTATTAATAAACAACACACAGTATCTATATTTCTTACTTAGAAAAAGCTTACGATACCACCTGGAAACATGGAATTTTAACAGATCTTCATAACATGGGTTTGAGAGGCCGTTTGCCAAATTTCATATCACAGTTTTGGGCAAACAGACATTTCCAGGTTCGAGTGGGATCCACCTTGTCTGATTTTTACGATCAAGATCAGGGTATACCACAAGGCAGCATATTGTCGGTAACGTTGTTTAGTATAAAAATCAGCAGCTTATCTAAAGTTTAAAACGACTCTATTGATGGGTCATTATTTGTCGATGATTTTAATGTTTCATGTCGAGGTAAAAATATGCGCACAATTGAGAGACAGTTGCAAGTCTGTCTCAATAAAATCAATGATTGGTCCGAACAAAATGGCTTTAAGTTTTCTAAGTCCAAAACTAACTGCATCCATTTCTGTCGTAAGTATAAACCACATAAAGACCCAGACTTACATCCATCGGGTACTCCCATTAAAGTAGTTAAGGAAGCTAAATTCTTAGGTATCATATTTGACCATCATCTTACATTCCTACCTCACATCAAATATCTTAAAAGAAAATGTGTGAAAACTTTGGATCTCACATATCTCCTTTCCGCCTGCTCTCTTCTCCACCTTGGCAGTTGGTACAGCCAAGAGTTGACCTGACATTAACCGAACTAAAGAAATCAGAAACAAATCAGTTACAGTATAAACAAGAATATAATCAATTAAGAAGTACATATAATACATATAAATCTATATTTACAGATGGATCCAAGGATGGTGGCGCAGTTGCTTGTGCCACTGTCATTGGATCCAAAACATTATCAACTAGATTACCAGATCACGCTTCCATATTTACAGCCGAATCAAAGTCCATTTTAACTGCCCTCAGATATGTCATACAGTCTAAACATAAGGACTTTATTATCTTTTCGGACTCGCTGTCTTGTCTTCAAGCAATTTAAAACAATTCGTGTCAGCATCCTGTTTTACGTGACATAATTGAACCACATAATGATCTTGCTACTGGCCAATACGACATCGTCTTTTGTTGGTTGCCCAGCCATGTTGGAATCACTGGTAACACAGTGGCCGATTCTGCTGCAAAGGCCGCTCTCAACAAATCTGTGACACCACTTCTGATACCTTACAGTGATTATAAACCAGTTATAAGAAGTTATATCCGGGATCTTATGCAGAAGAATTGGGACTCCCAAGTAGGTATCACTAAATTACATGCAATAAAACCAACTAACGGTTACACCTACTTGGGTTGTCGGTCCAGATTTGAAGATCACACTCTACAACGATGCCGTATTGGCCATTCTCGATACAGACATGAGTATTTACTTAAAGGTGAGGATCCTCCATTTTACATCCCTTGTGATGAGGGAATCACAGTCAAGCATGTGTATTGATTTTTCCATCACAAGGGATAAATATTTCAGTGTCAAAACAATGAAGGATCTTTTTTATTATATAAGTTCTCATTTAATTATCGAATTTTAAAAAGAAATTGAATTATTGGATAAATTTTGAACAATATGTTTTGTAAATAGATAAATGTCATTTTATTATTAATGGTAGTATAAATTAGCAAACTGCGCTTGTTAGTGGCTGTATCCTCAAAAGGGGGTTAAAGTATCATAAAAGTATCGTCCTCCTGAGAGGATACGTAAGTCCCAAACTTTCAAAGTCAATTTAGCTCAACCATGCTTTTTTAACGTAGAATATTTGTTATTTTAAATTATGGCTAAATTCCCTTCCATCGCCAGCGGCTGAGGGGATGGTGTAAATCCAGTTAGGGCCCATGCAGGAAGCCCCCGCGGTCCCTAGAATGGTGATCTTCCTTCAGTTGTTGGAGATCTATAGCCCGATTTTATATTGTGATGTTTTGAAATGATTTAACATTTTACACTGAACTCAAACTAGTTTTAATCGAATTGTGATATTCTAGTCGTTATACTGTCCTTCGCTGGCAGGTTTTTAAATAAGTATACATATGTTTATTCTTAGTACACAACTTTTTGTCGTCACAATATGGCTGAAATATTGCCGATGTGACGTTAAATATTAACTCACTCACTCACTCATGAATGGATGAGCGACTACTTGATTTACTCAAATCTTTAATGAGTTGCTGGTCGACTCAACTTGAGATGTACTCGCAAGGGCAGGTGCAGACCTCAGAATCTATTCCAATCAGAAGGGGAATTTTCCTGGGGGACTCCTTCAGTCCTTTGCCTTTTGTTTGCCTCTAAATCCTTTGAGCTTTCTGCTCAACAGAGAGGAGGGTTACCATCCCGGACCTCCTCAGCACAGATCCCCAACACCGCTTACTCATCTCCTTTACATGGATGACATCGAGCTCCTTGCCAAAGGAGATACCAATTTGAAAGAACAGGTTCTCCTTGTCGAGTCCTTTTCTAATGATATTGACATGACATTTGGGCTCGACAAATGTAATACTCTTCATTTGAAACGTGGCAAGGTAGTTAATGGTGGATCGGTCAAGTTACAAAGGAGGGGGGGTATATTGAGAATCTTGTGGAAGATCAGGCCCAAACCTATCTTGGATTGCAAGTTCGAGACAAGCTCCAGAATGCCTAAATTCAAGACAAACTTCAGGCCGAGTACAAATCTCGCTTAAAGAAAATCTGGAGCTCAGAGCTAAATGCTCGCAACAAGGTCAAAGCCACCAATATTTGTGCTGTGCCAGTCCTTTCCTATACTTTTGGAGTAGTTGACAGGACAAAACACGACTTCCAGAGTCTTGACCGCCTGACCAGAAGGATCATGTCTGATAACAGAGCCCACCACCCTCGTTCCTCTCTTAACTGTATATATATGCCAATCAATTCTTGAGGTCGGGGTTTAATTAATGTGGAGGCTCTTCATGATAGAATTTTATTGTGTACTTTTGGACATATTTATTTATCGGATGATCCTCTGGTGATGCATGTCAAGACTCATGATGAAAGCAAGGAATTCCACAGCTATTTTTAGCGTGCTAAGGTTCTTGGACAGAATCTGAAATTTGATGTTAATTTTGTTGATGGCGATGTACTGCTGGACGATACAACGGTGGGAGTAAACCAGGTGAAGTCTTTCACCAAGTCTGCCCAGAGTCGGTCATTTGTGGAGAAGCTTTCTGAGAAACCACTGCATCGTGTGTACAAGCTGCGTGTGGAACAGAATAGTAATCCCACCGACTCCTTCGCCTGGATGAAGTTGGCTGGTCTTAAATGTGAAAGTGAGGGCTTCCTTTTTGTTGCTCAGGACCAGTCACTTCCCACTCGTAATCGCCAAAATGTGGTTCTTAAACAAAATATCAATATGAAATGTCGACTATGTAATGAATTTACAGAAACTGTCCAACACCTTGTCAGTAGATGCCCTTCTTTGGCACAAACAGCATATCTCAAACGACATGCTTTTTACTACCGTCTCCGCCATGTCTGTGGCTTTGACTCCGAGGTCCATCCATGGTACGACCTTCAACATGTCCAGGGCGTCATGGAAAATTATGCTTTCAAACTTCTGTGGAATAGGCCCATATACAGCCTCAGAAGAAATCCTGCCAACAAACCCTGATCTTGTCCTTTTTGATAAAGCCAATGAATTTATTTATATCATTGAATTTTGTCCCTCTTGACAGCAATGTGATTGGCAAGATTCAGGAAAAGCATACTAAGTATGCGGACCTCGCCTTTGAAATGTCTCGCTTGCATCCCAAGTACACTGTCGTCAGGCTCTCCATTGTTCTCGGTGCCCTTGGTTTGGTACCTCCTGATCTCTTGGCGCAGATCAGGAGAGTGCCCGGGTTCTCAACCGGGAGCACAGTCCTTCTGACACTCTGGGTAATGCAGAAGGCTGCAGTGTTGGGGAGCCTTCATATTCTCCGGAAAGTTCTTGATGGGTTCGACTAGGCAGCGTTGGGAGAAGTCCCATTCGCTGTCAGGGCTGCGTGTAGAGGGGGCGAGGGCCCTGAGCTGATGATGAGCCTTACCAGCCTGACTGTGCCAGGATCACCCGAACCCTCTCTGCTGCATTTCCATCTTTAATCTGTAAAACATAATAATAAGGTTGCTTGTATAGTGCTTAATTCCATACCCTGCCAACTACGAAATAAAATGGAACGTTTTGAAGCAAGCAAGCTAGACTCAGGATTATATAACCTCTGTACTGAAGAGAAGCTAGAAATTCTCAACAAAAAAGGACACAAGATCAACATAAAGAGTGAACTACTTTGAACCTGTCGGCCTTGAAAGCACACAAGCCGAGTGAGAAAAGAATAGTTCCAAGCAAATTGATTTCAGTCTGTTTGATGATTGCCGCACTGAACATTTGTGTTTCTATCTCAGGCGTGACCACTCTGTGCTTGTAAACAACACATTTGTGTGTGTGTGTGTGTGTGTGTGTGTGTGTGTGTGTGTGCGCTTGTGTGTGTGCACACACACACATATCTATATAAATATGTATACACACACACATATATATATATATACACATACACACACACACACACACACACACACACACAAATCAATAATGTATTTCAATCTACCAAGTTAGTATAATCCTACTTCTTTTGAACACCTGGGCAGGGTGTTATCATTAAATGAAGCTTTAAATGTAAACATATTATTTTTCTAAACATTTGAATGTAAATTTGGAAACAAACGAGAAGCAAGCAAGTGCTAAATTAGGTCCATGTGACAGCCATTCGGCCAACCCTTTTCGGAAACGTTAGAATGTGCACTTCATGTCTGAAAGATGGTTGTGGGTGACGACACAGTAAACACGCTCAATTTACTTGGGATTTTTAGCCTTGTTTCATAATGTAGGAAAAATAACGCTTCGTTGCTGGTAATAACATTTATTCATCTTGAGCGTACAGTTACAATGTATTTTCGACAGCGGACACATTACGTGAATAGGAATGACATTGTACAATACAGATGGAAATCCACGGACAGGGAATTTGTGTCATCTGCTGCAGGATTCAGAGAATGTGCAATTTATAGAGGTAGACATTTACAACATGCTTCACGTTGAGGACTGTAGTAATACTGAAATAGTCTGAACAGTATTAAACTTTATCTCACACAGACACATACTCATTCACTAGCTCAGTGCATACAACAATATGCTTTTGTATACTTCACAGTACAAAGGTAACATTTTATGCAGGACAACAATACCAATAAATATATAACAATCATGAGCCTCATTCAGATAATGAGTTGTAATTACTAACATATCATCAGAATTTGGTGAAATCTGGCGGCAACGGTCTACACCTAAAATAAAATAAAATTTGATGTGGTGCTTTTCGGAAAGAAAATATGAACACAATATCAACCACGGAAATGATGTCCGGGGCACGCTCCAAGTCAGCTTTTGGCGACCCCTTGGTATCATATTAACTGTCTGGTCGTGATTCATAACGCAGGCGGAATCGTACAGTCGAGGCCTCTGGATATGGAAAGGGTCTTGTCATTTTTGTCATAATTTGGAGCTTTAATATTGGTGATAAATCCTGATAGCCAGTTAACTCAGTCGTTGTCATGGGAAATCATCGACGGTTATAAAGTATGGGAGAGTGATATCACTGAATAAATAGAAGCCAAACAAGAGAGACATATTTGAATAAGGTCTTAATATCTTGTGTCCAATAAGACGTTTCACTCCACAGTAACACACGCCGAGAGTATTGTGTTCCAACGTTCTGATTAAAGAAAAGCAAGATTTATGGATGTCATCAGGTGATGAAGGAGCAAGCATACACTCCGAAACGTCGTGTTATTCACAATAAAGAAGTTGACATCCATAAATCTTGCTGTTCTTATGCATTCCACTTCTAAAAGCCCTTCAAAGATTTGGTCTGATTAAAGCTTTTGTGATGGTTTAAACACTTCTCAAGAATTGTAAATTGTCTTTTAAGCTCGGTGGTTGTTGGAGAATGCTAGAGAAAGAATCTGCTGTGAGATAATTCAGACAATATGACACCGAAAAATGAAACTGCCGTGATGTCAGAAGAGTAAACTGATGGCCAGAAACAGTAAGTTGTGCATATCCTTTGGTGGTAACAACGTCAAACCATGAACTATGATAGTCGCTGCCAACGGTCTCCTCTTTTTACGAGCTTTCGTTTATTAAAACACATAAAAATCAAACAGCATACCAACGATGCGTGCTGGTTTTGCCAGACAACTATGATCCACATTTACGGGTTCTCTCCTCAAACAAAAAGCCATCATTATAACTGAATTCTCTTGAAGTCGGCGTTTAAGATCACTCACTGTTCTGTTCCCTGCAATGATTTATTATTGAAACGTCTCTGGAACAATTTTTCCGTGTGCAGATAATGTTACCTGATCTAGCTGAAATCTCAGCCGAACATCATAAGAACCATTCGACGGTCGCAGTTTTACGCACAGAATAATCGTGACCTTTCATTTGATGCTTTTTAAGCACAATTACGGATAATCTGGTGATAGACGGTGCTACTGACCCCGGAGCTGGATGGTGCATTATACCAAGCCAGTTTGCTGAGGTAACATGTTTTCGATTGATGCTGATAGTCAGCAGTTACACAAGTAAAGCCTGATTCTGACAGGCACAGACTCATGCAGGCCGCTGCTGTTTGAATGGACTCGACAACCCTGTCGTTGTAACCATTGAGCACTTTGTCGTTAAAGAGAGTGAAGCCTGATCCATATCCAGCTGAACCGCAACCTGAAATTGAAATAAAAAGTAAATAATTTGATTCGAGTCAAGGATAACCAATTCCTGTCACCAAAGCCGACACATTGAATTGGGTGGTTACACTTTTAGAAATGTTTGATGAAGGTTATTGTGATCAATCTGCGTGGACATCTGTCATTTTTTTCAACCGATATCACAGCATTCTGAAATATCTGATCCAGACCAAATAGCAGTGTATAGTTTGTATATGATTGTATCTGTACACATTCCATTGGTATTCACGATTCAGTGCATTCTAGAGACAGTTATGGGACTTACACCTGCTTTGGTCTGAAACTAGGGCAGGCTAAAATGATCGAAATATCGTCGATTTCAAAAAAACGATTATCGATATGTAAATTGTGAGATCAATAATATCGTACATTAACCTTTTGTGATAGATTTCTCACACAATATACAAATGTAGGACTTTATTCATGGTCTCCTTCTAAATTATGTTCATGACGCTATTTTGTTGATAATCTATACAAAAACATGTCACAACTAACCAGTGATGTCAAATAACAGTTTTGGCATTCTTGCTATAAGTAACGCTTCCGATATTCCGATATTTTGTTAACGATTACCGATCTCTATGATTTATATCGATAACCAGCCCTATCTAAAACCCATACTTACTTCTTTTTCTTCATTTTGACTTTTGACTTTTGCTGGGCGGTTTGTTACGACGTAGAAGACGGTTATTTGCTTCAAATACTTACCCTGGACACAACTGCTGCCAAGTTTGATGTACATGATGCTGCACACACAATATCCGTTATTGCAGACAACGTTTGTCCCAGAACAGGTGGTGCTGCAGGTGCCAAAGTTTGGTGGTGTTGCTGAAAATATGATGATCAATATATCAGAAAAGCAAAGACATTCTATTTGAATAGACATGGTATATTTCGGCTATTTCATTTATTTCATTTCATCAAGGACAGTCCATTGGATAACTGAATTTCGAACGGTTCCACAACGTTCCTTTTTCAGAGAATAAGAGGAAAAAACATCAATAACAGAAATAAAATTATTCGTTCCCTTATTTCTAAAGTTTTTGTGAATGAGTGAGTGACTTTTGTTTTACGTCGCTTTTAGCAACAATGCGCCAATATTACACCAGAATTGGGCTTCATAAAATGTACCCATTTGGAGAAACGAACCGGGTCTTCGGCAGGACGAGCGAACGTTTTACCCACGAGGCTACCACGACACCGCTGATATTTTCAAATGCCACTATTGGTAACTTTGGCCTTATGATGTTTTTCGGAGTAAATTTTTGAAGGATGTCAATTGCAGTAAGTTTGTGCTTTTGCTTGTATGAAGTATATAGGAATATGAACAAATTATTACTAATATTAAATGCAAATGTCTACCTGTACATGCAGGCAGGCCGCAGTTAAAGACAGACGTTTCTGAAAGAGTCTCCGTACAGGAAGATCCACCGTAAGCTGGAGATGGATTCGTGCAGGTTCGACTACGGGTTTTGGAAACAGTATGAGATGTACCACAGGTTTGTGTACAGGCGCCACTCCAAGAGCTCCAGCTGCTGACTCCACCGTTTACTGAAGGTAAAGAATATATTATGTTAGTGCTTCCGAAACACTGTTTTAAGACTAACTGGTAAATCAGTTCAATGAAAAAATAGCATCTGTAATTTTGTCACGACTCAGTCTAATGGCTGACGTGTGAAAGGTGAAAGGTGCGCTCACACACTCACGCACGCATACAAGCGCAGACACACACGCGAACATACATACATTCATGCATACATGCATATAGGCATTCATATATGCATACATACATACACACACAAATACATTCACACATACATACAGACAGACAGACAGACAGCATGTAAGCACTATCCTGTATCAGAATTACAGTTAGGCAATTCAAGTTCAAGATACAGCTTTATTTCTGCAATACAAATCACAGACAAAACGCATGACTCATGCCATATTTTCTGACAATTTTTTCATCCTAAGAAGTGTTTGATTGATCATATTTTTCATTATATCAATATGTCACCATGAACCATTGAAAGCAACTTATCCAAACCTCGCAATAATAGACTGCAAAACACATCACAGAAAGAACGCCTGACTCGTGCCACATTTTTTTACAATAACATTCTGAATGTTGACAAAGTGACAAACTTATCCAAAGTTCAATGGATATATGTATCCTCAAGGCCTAATAGAAATGGCAAATCGAAAATAAAAGAACGAACAAATGTAGTATATTCAGAAACACAAACGTGGCAAAAATTGGTTCAATGTTGTAGTACTGATATCCATGGATCCATTGGCAAAAATGTGCGGCAAATTTCAAGATTCTGGCATACCATACTCAAGTACCAATAAACGAGCACAATGTCCGGTGAAAATCGTCCCCAGCAGCGGGTCATTTTAATATTTACAATGTATATACACATCAACAGCGAAATCAAACGCACGTTGTCAAAGTGTAAGAAGAGTTCACTGAAACCTCAACTTTGAGATTCTGACCAAAAACCTTGGCAGGCTTAAAACAGTTCTGGAATCTTTTGCTTTCATCACGAGTCCTGACATGCATAACCAGAGGATCATCAGATAAATAGATATGTGCAAAAGTACACAACAATAACCTATTATGCATATCCTAAACGTACTGTATTATATGATATTATTATTTTGTTGTTTATTGTTTTATAACAGGCTTCCTTTATATCACAGAAAATTGAAGCTAACAAAAGTAATTGCGAAAAAATCATTACCATGCGTCATTCCGACCCTATCATTAGATCATTAGCATATGTTTATGTATAACCTCACCTGGGCACGGTGAGAAGCCACAATTCTCACTGGTGGTGCTTGTAAGAGACTCAGAGCAGTCCGCTCCTCCGTGAGCTGGAGCAGGGTTGGTGCAGGTTCGGGTTCGAGTCCTGGTTCCTGTGGCCGGGACGCCGCATGTCTCTGAACATACCAACGTGCCCCACGATCCCCAGGCGCTCACACCTCCGTCAACTGGAAAACAGCAGAGACGACCTATAGTGTCACGGGACAGGTACACGTCTACACAAAATGGGGACGAAGATGATATTGACGCTACATTTCATTTATAAAATCCATAATTCTACAACACACAAACGGTACATATGTGATAAACTGAATTTAGAGGTTACATCAATGCAACGACAAACTAAATGTTAATTAAAAACATATATGTGACTTAACCTTACTGAATTAATATAGTTGTTTAAAGGTCGCATGCAACGTAAAACACAACTTTGCAGATTATGATGCCTTTCGGTATGGACTTACAGATACAAATCATCAAAAATGGAAATTCAACTTATAAAGTTGAAAATTAACGCGATGAAAAAAACCCCGTAAAATCGGAGTTCAAATGATTCAGCGCTTGGGGTGAAAAATGGTTTCAACAGCTGTGCTGCGCTGCGCTCATAGCACATGAGGAGTGAAATAGGTTCGCGCAGCTTGGAAGCGGGATGTCCGGATTTAAGAAAAGGTCGTGAGCAGGCGTAGTCTAATGAAAAAATAATCATAAATAATCTACTCATTACATAAAAAACCTGGTTAGGATCTAGATCTACTCAGCTATGTGTCAACCAGTGAGGCGTTCAACATTTCAAGACGGAAAACCTTCGCTGGCGGTGAATACTCGGTGAAGGCTTTGATGTGAGCTATTTTCCTAATGTTTTGTTGATATTTCACAAGCGTGAGCTTTTTATATGTTATGACAGTAGATTACCGATTTAACTGTTTATATAATTTCGTTTGTCTATTTCACCACACGTTCTTCTTACCGAGTCACTTTCTCAGTTCGATACTTAAAAGCAATGTCATTATTTAGCGTTGACAGAATTTCTAACTGTGATATAGATATGTCGTTGTCACAGACAAAACTCAATGACTGTTTTATTGACACCTGTGTGTCTGCCTGCCTGTCTGCTAATGACAATATTCATTACACAGCTTCGATAACTGACCACATGCCATTTGAACTTAACACCTATCAAGCTATACACCATAAACAAAACGCATTGATTTATGGCCCAAGTTCGGTCTCTGTCACATTATGTAAGTACACAGACAGGCAGGTGTGATACTTTTGTGTACACTTGGCATGTTATGATGTCTGTTGATTGCAAAATGTTATACACAAAAAATGAGCATGTATTTACAAAACCCAACATCTCTATATATGCACACACACAATGAGCCGTGAGGGTATTGGCAAATGAACCAGCCAATGGAAGACTTCGTTACACTTGAGTGCACACCCACCCGCTCTGACTGGGTTCGGTATCCCGGTTCCTTCGTTTCGAGGGAAGTAAACCCAAGTACAAAATATTGCACTTTTGATTTGCGATTGTACGCTTATAATTTTGTTTATATGTTTTTTCATACTCAGCAATGTATATTATGTGTCATGAATAAGTGATAATTGTGTTTTAATTATGTTTAATTTTTTGGTTCCATGTGACCTTTAACAAATAAATAATGAAGGGAAAGGTAAGTTGTTCCAAGATAGGTAAATCAATAAGATGTTTCAATCAAACGTGTCTTCTTTTGCATGTATTTGTTAAGAATGAATTCATATGAATGAGTTAAAATTTAACGTCACCTCAGTAATATTTCAGCCATATAGTGACGAGACAGTTTTGCATGCATATTAAATACAAGTAAAACAATCCAGTCATCAAAGTACTGTAAAATAGATAGCTAGAGTATCACAGATGGTGTATAAAGCTAGCATGTAGATCTAAAACTATTTTACAATTGAAGACAATACAATAATAAAAACAGGTTATAGGTCGCCAATAGCCCAAGGCAGATCACCACACTAAGGATCATGGGGACGTACAGTACAGTTGCTACCTGCATGGACCCTAGTTGGATTTACATCGTCCCTTCAGATATTGGCGAATATGACAAAAATTTAGCCAAAGATCAAATGAACACACATTCTAGGAATAAAAGTGTTGCAGAAATAGCTGTTGTTACTGACAAGAGAAAAAGTGTCTTGATTTCTTTGCTGAAATACACTTAAAACTGAAATGAGGTTTAACTGTCAACTTATTCACTTTCAAATCCATGTATAAATACAGGCTTGAGGTTTTAGCAAGTGAGCAATGTAGAACGTGTCTTTCAAAAAATCATTTGGGATGCAAATGCCACAATTATATAATATTTATATACTGTTAAACACGTTATTACGTGAGAAACCTTGTTCTCTTTTTTCACTTCATTTTATTTTACCACAAAAATAGGTCACACTTTTTATCACCATTCCCAATTCGGAGATTGTTCGATACATTACCTGTCTTTGAAATACCAACAAGGAAACCATTACACATATCATATCATGATGCTACTTGTGTATCAAGAAATGAATTCAATAATCAGAAAATCGATTCGGAAATGGCCTTCATTGTGGTGTTAAGATATTTCATTTAGACATTTGCATCTTAAAATAAAACTAGTCATCAAAAATCCAGATATGGTTTGATCAGCTAACAACTGATCCTTATCAGAGGGTAAATGCCACATGCAAGCGCGGACGTGGGAGAATGATTGCTATTTATTACCTACGAGGGCGAGCATATCGGGTTTCATATTTATTTTACGATGCCCTGGGGCAAAATATCACTTTATCATGGTGACGTGACGTCATGAACAATGCTATGACGTCACGTTTCTTCTGTGACGTTGCGTTCTACATGCGGCGACGGCGGGTACACAGCCTATGTTTGGAAGTAGATTTGGGTTATTTTCCTCAATTTGACGACTTCGGTAATAAACAGAATAGTATATTCGTGTACATATCATACTATGTTTACGACACTCGTGCCTAGATATTGGTATATCTCTCGCTATCGCTCAGGAAATACCAAAATTTAGGCACTCGTGTTGTAAACATAGTATGACATGGGCACTCATATAATATCCTCTGTATACGCCAATCTAATATGTCCAGTGTGGGTTCAGGGGGTTACGCTTGTTCCACAACCAATGGTACCAAGTCTATGTCTCTGGTGATACATGACTGGCATGGTGTGACAGCGTCACAGAGGAAGATCTCAAGGGGAATGCTCGTCGTCAGTTTTTTAAATATTTATCAATCGTTCGTGCCAGCAATGTTCATCCATTAGTGGCTATACAAGCATTCTTCATGGTTATATTCCCTGTGGGTTGTATGCACTACATGGAAATGTACATTGTACGTGGGAAATTCATTGTTTCTTGTGTGTATAGAGGTGTGGCAGAAGCAGCTCTAACGAACTCTTCGTTAATGCGCCAGAATCCTCGGAACTCAAATGAAACCGCACTGACTCTATTAGTAGCCTGGGGCGGCGGGGTAGCCCAGTGGGTAATGCGACCGCTCGTCACACCGAAGATCCGGGTTCGATTCCCCCCATGGGTACAATATTTGAAGCCCATTTCAGGTGTCATCCGCCGTGATGTTGCTGGAACATTGCTTAAAGTGGCGTAAAACTAAACTCACTCACTCACTCACTCACTCACTCACTCACTCACTCACTCACTCACTCACTCACTCACTCACTCACTCACTCACTCACTCACTCACTCACTCACTCACTCACTCACTCACTCACTCACTCACTCACTCTTTGTATTTATGATTGATCTATGATGTTTTCTAATGCAGTCGAGTGCCTAAGGCTACATTACGCATAAGTGAGGTGTGCTTCTTCCGTATTTGCTATATTTATATTTTGGAAAATACCTGCAGCACATACGCAATGTTTGTTACTTGTACGTCACAATCAACACATTTTGCAAAATATATAGTTTGTTATTTGAGAAATAAAAGGAGATGTTATTTTTTTAATTACGCCTATGTGTACAACGTTTATGAAACCGTGTTCTTTCTTCAACACAGATTCGGGGTGGCGACGTCATCTGAACATTTCCTTTGTTGTTGATCCGTCAAGATCAGTAACCCATTCATGTCGTAAGAGGCGACTAACGGTTCGGGTGGTCGGGCTTGCTGACATGGTTGACACATGTCACCGTATCCCAGATGCGTAGATCGATGCTCATGCTGTTGATCACTGGACTGTCTGGTCCAGACCCGATTATTTACAGACCGCCACAATATAGCTGGAATATTGCCGAGTGCGGCGTTAAACAACAAACGAACCAACCAACCATTGTTGTTCACAGAGATTATTATGAAATCCGGGCTACCAGCAGACACATCGACCAAGAAACTCATTCAAATTAATATTTCATCAGAGATATTTCAAAGTGAATAGGCAAGTACGTCCAAACATTTGCTAAAAAAAATAGATTTGCCAACATTTCATAAATTTCGTTTTGGGGCAAGCCAGAAACTTAGGGTGCTTTGTTCTCTTGGACTATGTTTCTAGTATTATTATGTCTGGTAGGTTTCACCGAAGGTGGTAAGCGTCTTAGATATGCATACCGTGGGACTGTCCTCCCACATCAATCTGTCAAATTAAATAAATATAGATGGAATCAAAATAAGAGCGGAGTTAATGATATTCTCAAACAGCTATATCTAAAAGGACGAGCACACATGCGTGATTACGGTAACCATTTGATTCTGACATATTGACTTGGATGACACATATCATCGTATCCACACAAAAAATAAACTCACTGACTTATTGATCAGATGACGACACTACTTTGAAGAATAATAGGAGGCAGAATGATTTGTTCAGATGATAAGTGCATGCTACTGTTCACAAGTGATTGCAATGCATGATCAGGCGTCAGAACATTGTCAGTACCATGCACTGAACAAACGCCAACCATGCTTCCGTGAGCATTGCAAAGATCGTAATTGACAGTTTGTTCGTTGGGTGTTTTGTTACCCTACAGTGCGCCAAGATTAATAAGAAACCAGAAAACATTAGCCTTAGCCGTGAGTGGTTGAGCATGGCAATCTGCCGTCATTACGTATGTTTAAACACGCCCTTGGAGTCGACAGGTATTATACATTATGCGGGGAGTTTCGTTCAGTGCCGTTGAAGGGTCACATATTGTAACACTGTTCTTCCTATGTCACATCGGCCAGTCAGCCCATACAAACAACCTATATGGTTCTTTAAGTACGCCTTTCAACGACTCTTCAGATGTAATGAAAATTATTATTCTTAGCAACCCATACCCCAACGGAATCGGGTGTTCAGGCTCGCTGACTTGGCTGATACATGTCATCGCATCCCATCGTATCATATATCGAGATATTTTGGGGGTATCATCAGGGTACCCACCAGGCAAACACAATGACAAAAGCAACAACCAGTCCAGAGGAATTGGTCCTGATCAGCGGTCTTTAATTCAGATAGGATATCTTTAGGATTTTTAACCCTTCCTATTGTACTGTTTTTGATGACCGATGGGTTATCAGGGCACTTGATTTCAATAAATCAAACCGTGCATTGGAATTCACATGCCTTTATTAGCCAGTCTTTTTCACATCCTACAGTGGGTAACTCTCTTGCTCTTAGTTGTTTTTGCATACCGCTAAACAATAACACCGCTAATAGCGTTATAGCACTACATCCTTCTTCTCCTTGGGTGAATGATTAGCTTTAAAAACATAATAATGTCATCTTGACAAGAATTATGAAATGATTCCTCAAATTAACTTTAGAGTCCATGTGTTAAGCAATACTAAACTTTCTGCAGTCCAAAAGATAATTATTTAAAGTCTCTAATATTAAATGCAAATGTCTACCTGTACATGAAGGCAGGCCGCAGTTGAAGACAGACGTTTCTGAAAGAGTCTCCGTACAGGAAGATCCACCGTAAGCTGGAGATGGATTCGTGCAGGTTCGACTACGGGTTTTGGAAACAGTATGAGATGTGCCACAGGTTTGTGTACAGGAGCCACTCCAAGAGCTCCAGCTGCTGACTCCACCGTTTACTAAAGTAAAGAATACATTATGTTAGTGCTTCCGAAACACTGTTTTATAACTATCTGGTAAATCACTTCAATGAAAAAATAGCATCTGTAACTTCTATTTATCCTTGTTTACAGCATAATAGCTATGCCACGACTCAGTCTAATGGCTGACGTGTGAAAGGTGCGCTCAGACACTCACGCACACATACAAGCGCAGACACACACACGAACATACATACATTCATGCATATATGCATTCATGTATACATACATACACACACAAATACATCCACACATACATACATACATACATACATACATACATACATACATACATACATACATACATACATACATACATACATACATACAGACAGACAGACAGACAGACAGACAGACAAACAGCATGTTAACACTATCCCGTATAAGAACTACAGTTAGGCAATTCAAGTTCAAGATACAGCTTTATTTCTGCAAAACAAATCACAGACAAAACGCATGACTCATGCCATATTTTCTGACAATTTTTTCATCCTAAGAAGTGTTTGATTGATCATATTTTCCTAATATCAATATGTCACCATGAACCATTGAAAGGAACTTATCCAAACCTCGCAATAATAGACTGCAAAACAAATCACAGAAAGAACGCCTGACTCGTGCCACATTTTTTTACAATAAGATTCTGAATGTTGACAAAGTGACAAACTTATCCAAAGTGCAATGGATATATGTATCCTCAAGGCCTAATAGAAATGGCAAATCGAAAATAAAAGAACGAACAAATGTAGTATATTCAAAAACACAAACGTGGCAAAAATTGGTTCAGTGTTGTTGTACTGATATCCATGGATCCATTGGCAAAAATGTGCGGCAATTTTCAAGATTCTGGCATACCATACTCAAGTACCAATAAACGAGCACAATGTCTGGTGAAAAAACGTCCCCAGCAGCGGGTCATTTTAATTTACAATGTCTTTACACATGAACAGCGAAATCAAACGCACGTTGTCAAACTGTAAGAAGAGTTCACTGAAACCTCAACTTTGAGATTCTTACCAAAAAACTTGGCAGGCTAAAAACAGTTATGGAATCTTTTGCTTTCATCACGAGTCCTGACATGCATAACCAGAGGATCATCAGATAAATAAATATACAGAAAATAGAAGCTAACAAAATTAATTAATCAGTACCATGCGTCATTCCGACCCTATCATTAGATCATTAGCATATGTTTATGTATAACCTCACCTGGGCACGGTGAGAAGCCACAATTCTCACTGGTGGTGCTTGTAAGAGACTCAGAGCAGTCCGCTCCTCCGTGAGCTGGAGCAGGGTTGGTGCAGGATCGGGTTCGAGTCCTGGTTCCTGTGGCCGGGATGCCGCATGTCTGTGAACATACCAACGTGCCCCACGATCCCCAGGCGCTCACACCTCCGTCAACTGGAAAACAGCAGAGACGACCTACAGTGTCACGGGACAGGTACACGTCTACACAAAATGGGGACGAAGATGATATTGACGCTACATTTCATTTATAAAATCCATAATTCTACAACACACAAACGGTACATATGTGATAGACTGAATTTAGAGGTTACATCAATGCAACGACAAACTAAATGTTAATTAAAAACAAATATGTGACTTAACCTTACTGAATTAAAATACTTGTTTAAAGGTTGCATGCAACGTAAAACACAACTTTGCAGATTATGATGCCTTTCGGTATGGACTTACAGATACAAATCATCAAAAATGGAAATTCAACTTATAAAGTTGAGCAGTGAAATAGGTTCGCGCAGCTTGGAAGCGGGATGTCCGGATTTAAGAAAAGGTCGTGAGCAGGCGTAGTCTAATGAATAAAGAATAATAAATAATCTACTCATTACATAAAAAACCTTGTTAGGATCTAGATCTACTCAGCTATGTGTCAACCAGTGAGGCGTTCAACATTTCAAGACGGAAAACCTTCGCTGGCGGTGAATACTCGGTTGAGGCTTTGATGTGAGCTATTTTCCTAATGTTTTGTTGATATTTCACAAGCGCGAGCTTTTTATGTGTTATGACAGTAGATTACCGATTTAACTGTTTATATAATTTCGTTTGTCTATTTCACCACACGTTCTTCTTACCGAGTCACTTTCTCAGTTCGATACTTAAAAGCAATGTCATTACTTAGCGTTGACAGTATTTCTAACTGTGATATAGATATGTCATTGTCACAGACAAAACTCAATGACTGTTTTATTGACACCTGTGTGTCTGCCTGCCTGTCTGCTAATGACAATATTCAATACACAACTGCGATCACTGACCACATGCCATTTGAATTTAACACCTATCAGGCTATACACCATAAACAAAACGCATTGATTTATGGCCGGAGTTCGGTCTCTGTCACATTATGTAAGTAGGCTACACAGGCAGGCAGGTGTGATACTTGTACAATTGACATGATATGATGTCTGTTGATTGCAAAATGTTATACACAAAAAATGAGCATGTATTTACAAAACCCAACATCTCTATATATCAGACACACAATGAGCCGTGAGGGCATTGGCAAATGAACCAGCCAATGAAAGACTTCGTTACACTTGAGTGCACACCCACCCACTTTGACTGGGTTCGGTATCCCGGGTCCTTCCTTTCGAGGAAAGTAAACCCAAGTACAAAATATTGCACTTTTGATTTGCGATTGTACGCTTATAATTTTGTTTATATGTTCTTTCATACTCAGCAATGTATATTATGTGTCATGAATAATTGATAATTGTGTTTTTGGTTCCATGTGACCTTTAACAAATAAATAATGAAGGGAAAGGTAAGTTGTTCCCAGATAGGTAAATCAATAAGATGTTTCAATCAAACGTGTCTTCTTTTGCATGTATTTGTTAAGAATGAATTCATATGAATTAGTTAAAATTTAACGTCACCTCAGTAAAATTTCAGCCATATAGTGACGAGATAGTTTTGCATGCATATTAAATACAAGTAAAACAATCCAGTCATCAAAGTACTGTAAAATAGATAGCTAGAGTATCACAGATGGTGTATAAAGCTAGCATGTAGATCTAAAACTATTTTACAATTGAAGACAATACAATAATAAAAACAGGTTATAGGTCGCCAATAGCCCAAGACAGATCACCATACTAAGGATCATGGGGACGTACAGTACAGTTGCTTCCTGTATGGACCCTAGTTGGATTTACATCATCCCTTCAGATATTGGCGAAAATGACAAAAATTTAGCCAAAGATCAAATGAACACACATTCTAGGAATAAAAATGTTGCAGAAATAGCTGTTGTTACTGACAAGAGAAAAAGTGTCTTGATTTCTTTACTGAAATACACTTAAAACTGAAATGAGGTTTAACTGTCAACTTATTCACTTTCAAATCCATGTATAAATACAGGCTTGAGGTTTTAGCAAGTGAGCAATGTAGAACGTGTCTTTCAAAAAATCATTTGGGATGCAAATGCCACAATTATATAATATTTATATACTGTTAAACACGTTATTACGTGAGAAACCTTGTTCTCCTTTTTCACTTCATTTTATTTCACCACAAAAAAAGGTCACACTTTTTATCACCATTCCCAATTCGAAGATTGTTCGATACATTACCTGTCTTTGAAATACCAACAAGGAAACCATTAAACATATCATATCATGATGCTACTTGTGTATCAAGAAATGAATTCAATAATCAGAAAATCATTCGGAAATGGCCTTCATTGTGGTGTTAAGATATTTCATTTAGACATTTGCATCTTAAAATAAAAGTAGTCATCAAAAATCCAGATATGGTTTGATCAGCTAACAACTGATCCTTATCAGAGGGTAAATGCCACATGCAAGCGCGGACGTGGGAGAATGATTGCTATTTATTACCTACGAGGGCGAGCATATCGGGTTTCATATTGTTTATACGATGCCCTGGGGCAAAATATCACTTTATCATGGTGACGTGACGTCATGAACAATGCTATGACGTCACGTTTCTTCTGTGACGTTGCGTTCTACATGCGGCGACGGCGGGTACACAGCCTATGTTTGGAAGTAGATTTGGGTTATTTTCCTCAATTTGACGACTTCGGTAATAAACAGAATAGTATATTCGTGTACATATCATACTATGTTTACGACACTCGTGCCTAGATATTGGTATATCTCTCGCTATCGCTCAGGAAATACCAAAATTTAGGCACTCGTGTTGTAAACATAGTATGACATGGGCACTCATATAATATCCTCTGTATACGCCAATCTAATATGTCCAGTGTGGGTTCAGGGGGTTACGCTTGTTCCACAACCAATGGTACCAAGTCTACGTCTCTGGTGATACATGACTGGCATGGTGTGACAGCGTCACGGAGGAAGATCTCAAGGGGAATACTCGTCGTCAGTTTTTAAATATTTATCAATCGTTCGTGCCAGCAATGTTCATCCATTAGTGGCTATACAAGCATTCTTCATGGTATTATTCCCTGTGGGTTGTATGCACTACATGGAAATGTACATTGTACGTGGGAAATTCATTGTTTCTTGTGTGTATAGAGGTGTGGCAGAAGCAGCTCTAACGAACTCTTCGTCAATGCCCCAGAATCCTCGGAACTCAAATGAAACCGCACTGACTCTATTAGTAGCCTGGGGCGGCGGGGTAGCCCAGTGGGTAATGCGACCGCTCGTCACACCGAAGATCCGGGTTCGATTCCCCCCCCATGGGTACAATATTTGAAGCCCATTTCAGGATTCATCCGCCGTGATGTTGCTGGAACATTGCTTAAAGTGGCGTAAAACTAAACTCACTCACTCACTCACTCACTATTAGTATTTATGATTGATCTATGATGTTTTCTAATGCAGTCGAGTGCCTAAGGCTACATTACGCATAAGTGAGGTGTGCTTCTTCCGTATTTGCTATATTTACATTTTGGAAAATACCTGCAGCACATACGCAATGTTTGTGACTTGTACGTCACAATCAACACATTGTGCAAAATATATAGTTTGTTATTTGAGAAATAAAAGGAGATGTTACGTTTTTAATTACGCCTATGTGTACAACGTTTATGAAACCGTGTTCTTTCTTCAACACAGATTCGGGGTGGCGACGTCATCTGAACATTTCCTTTGTTGTTGATCCGTCAAGATCAGTAACCCATTCATGTCGTAAAAGGCGACTAACGGTCCGGGTGGTCGGGCTTGCTGACATGGTTGACACATGTCACCGTATCCCAGATGCGTAGATCGATGCTCATGCTGTTGATCACTGGACTGTCTGGTACAGACCCGATTATTTACAGACCGCCACAATATAGCTGGAATATTGCCGAGTGCGGCGTTAAACAACAAACGAACCAACCAACCATCGTTGTTCACAGAGATTGTTATGAAATCAGGGCTACCAGCAGGCACATCGATCAAGAAACACATTCAAATTAATATTTCATCAGAGATATTTCAAAGTGAATAGGCAAATACGTCCAAACCTACGTCTGGTAGGTTTCACCGAAGGTGGTAAGCGTCTTAGACATGCATACCGTGGGACTGTCCTCCCACATCTATCGGTCAAATTAAATAAATATCGATTGAATCCAAATAAAAGCGGAGTTAATGATATTCTCAAACAGCTATATCTAAAAGGACGAGCACACATGCGTGATTACGGTAACCATTTGATTCTGACATATTGACTTGGATGACACATGTCATCGTATCCACACAAAAAATAAACTCACTGACATATTGATCAGATGACGACACTGCTTTAAAGAATAATAGGAGGCAGAATGTTTTGTTCAGATGATAAGTGCATGCTACTGTTCACAAGTGATTGCAATGCATGATCAGGCGTCAGAACATTGTCAGTACCATGCACTGAACAAACGCCAACTATGCTTCCGTGAGCATTACAAAGATCGTAATTGACAGTTTGTTCGTTGGGTGTTTTATCATCCTCAAGGGAGGTAACTATCTTGCTCTGAGTTGTTTTTGCATACTGCTAAACAATAACACCGCTAATAGCGTTATAACACTACATCCCTCTTCTCCTTGGGTGAATGATTAGCTTTATAAAGTAAAACAAACATAAGAATGTCATCTTGACATGATTTATGAAATGACTCCTCAAATTAAGTCCATGTGTTAAACAATACTAAACTTTCTGAAGTCCACAAGATATTTAAAGTCTCTCATAAAAACACTATATAAGAAGAATTAGTCTGAACACATTATTGTGCAAAAATCCTCTTTGCATTTTTGTTTTATATAACAAAGTCATTGAATCTGGACGGAAGTCTCCTTTCTCGGGAGCCGCCTCCGTGGTGTAGTGGTTAGAGCGTCTGCCCGGAGAGCGGAAGGTAGCGGGTTCGATCCCTGACCGCGTCATACCAAAAGACGTTAAAATATGGTACTTGTTGGTCCCTGCCT